TACAAAATGTTCAATGGTGGTAGCAACATTAGCGATAAACTGTTTAAAATTAACTCCATTACAAAAACTAGAGGCCACCATCTAAAATTGGTGGAAAAAAAATTCCAGCACCAGGGGCGAAGGGGGTTCTTCACAATAAGATCAGTTAGGGTCTGGAACTCACTGCCACAGGCTGTGATTTCAGCAAATAATGTGGAATTGTTCAAGAAACTTTTGGACGATTTCTTAAGGGACCGTAATATACAGGGGTACAGGTACTCCTAGAATGAGATCCTAATAGGTTGGACTTGATGGACTAATGTCTTTATTCAACCTCAAATACTATGTAACTATGTAACTGAAATGCCTTCCATTCCAATCCTGCGAAGCAGACAAGGAAGGAGTTTTAAAGGAGGAAAGGTGTAGATCATTCAGAGCATCCACTGTGATAGCTAGAGGATGCCTGGACCTGGAAACAAACTAGTCTAGTTGTTGTTGAACCTGGAAGCCAGGAGGTCCACACCTGTGACAGAGATTTTGAAACACCTTTGAGTGGAAATTTCTTCTCAATTCCAGACATTGTTGACTGAGGAATAATAATAAATCTTTGCTGATAAGTGGCAAATGCAGCCCCCCAGATTTTATTGAACGCTAATGAAAGTGATGTCCAGCTTTACATATTATTAAGATTGTACCAAATGGGTGGTGGGGGGACCCAGAGCTTGGCGGGCACCTGCGTCAGGTGGCTGCATCATGAAAGGGCCTTCTGAGTGGTACAGTGGTGAGACAAGGTTCCTCCCACAATGGTGTTCATCATTGATGTTCATCAATGTCCCTTCTTACTGCCAATTGACAGCAACTTATGGCAGGAGCTCTTCCCCACCAGAAGGTCATAAGAAATGATGCTTGGCCACAGCTGCCCTGATTCCCAGGACTAAATGGTCATCTGATTGCAAAGAAAAAGCTTATTGGATAATGAATGATATACAACATGTTCGTTGTTCTTCTACTCAGTGCAGATAATGTGCTATGCAGCCATGCATTGGTTGCATAACTTTTCTATCTGCTTTGGTGCATTTACGCACCTACAAAAACATATGACCTATGAGAGGTACTCAAGACACTAGGAACTTTTTGGGGTATTGGAGTAGATGAAGGTTATTGCGGTCTACGTCCCTGGTGGGAGGATTTCCCCCATTGCCGGTTTTAATACAGTAATACTAAAGGAGTCATTAGCAGTAATTAAAATACACACAATTACAAATGATTAAAAATACTTTTCTTCACAAATACTACTCAGTTGATTGCCATTTATTCTTAAACTTACTGTAGGTGAAACTTACACTTGCCCAACATAGGCCCCTGAATATCAACTACCGTAGGCACATGGCAAAATGGAGCTATAAACAATTCACTTTCAAATACTTAAAATGCAAATGGAAAACGGATACAAATGAATAAACAAGAAAAAAAGCCAACAAGTGGATTTCTAGAACCTTGTGGAGCTTCCATCCTACCCTTAGAACAGAAAACTCGAATTTGAATATTTATACAGCCAGGAAATCTGTGATTCAGAGTTTGAAATGAAGAAAATGCCAACAGTAGACATCTGTACTCTCCATGCACTGCCTCTGCATTGTACCTGACATTTAAAATGAAAATGTGCCACTTAAAAATAGGATGTTGTCACACAGTCCTTCAGGTGCACAACTGTGTGTGGCTTCAAGGTTTAGTCACAGTGTAATCACTCAAGATGTATCCCACACAGAATTAGGAGCGCATCTTGTTTAAGAGAAGGAAGAGTAATTATCTTAGAGACATTTGTATTATTACAGTGTAGTTGCTGTCTTTATCTTTTGTAAAATGCGAGAAGTACAAAGTCTTCATATTGTTGGTCCCTGAAGGGAACTCACAATATCTGGCATGCAGGGACGTAGACAGACATAACCAGCATTACAGGAAGCTGACTGTATAGCTTAAAGGGCATATAAAAACGAAGATTATTGGGTGGAATTAACATTATTATACAGGATTTATTTAAATTACTTTTAAGATCTTTGTTCACTTTACCCATCACTCATTAAGTCAAATGTTCACGAGTCGTGACACCATGATATGTTTCTTAAAATAAACCTGCCATGATGCAACATAGAGCCTGCCTGGCTTTTATGAACTGGAAATAAAATGTAATCTCTGCAACCAGGATATAGACTACCAACAAATTGTTGTCCCCACTAAAAAGAGATTTGCTGTACTTCCACTTTTTGGAAGAGAAGTGAAGAAAATCCTCCTAACATTCAGAAGTTACTATCAAATTATATTGCCAACAGATCAATTCCTGAACTCTACCACAGTTTTACATTATGAACTTTTTTCCCCCCCACTGCAGCAACTTTATAGTTATTATTCTAACCAAGAAGTTTGTATTTATTAAACCTGAACTTGATCACTATGAAAAAAACGTAACTTTTTGTAGTTTTGTGATCGATTACTGTGCCCACGGCAGGTTTAGCAAAGTGGCACTACATCAATGGGGTGGGTTGCTACTATAAATACTAATGAATCAGGAAAGGAGCTCAGAGAGGGTGTTAATTTACACAGACTGCTTGGCAGCCATTTCAAAAGGGGGCACGGTAGCATTACAACTAGTGGAAAAGCCTGGGACCTCCATTCGTAAGTAGGAGTCGTACGTAACTCAGATGTTCGTAACTCGGGGACTGCCTGTATTTGATCATTGGGACTATTGATACAGTTTTAAGGACATTTATTTTACATGTGTATTTAGTTATAACTATAGGTTATGTTGTATATCAGCACATATACAACCTGACAGATGGTGAGAAGTAACTGTGATTCATACTTGCACAGTCCATATAACTCCAGAGAATGGAATTAGCATAATTCCACACGTACAAAACACTAGGGCTGCAACAACTAATCGACATAATCGATTTTGAAAATAATCGTTAGCTGCAGCTCTACAAAACACTGCATATTATACACATTAACATAACCCAAGGAAGATCTATCACATCTGTTTCAGTTACATATTGTATGTAAACCCAATCTATTATGTCACCACACTCAACTGACCATGCGAGATTTCCTTTTTCTAACATTCTTTCTTAAGCTATTCAAGAAACCTCTATTCCATCCTTCCCACCCACAGTGGTGCACTAAGCTACAAGAACATGGGAAACTCAGGGCGGCTAATTCACTAAAACATAATGGGGGGAATTTATGAACGCGTTTGTGACAAACCTTTTTGTTGCAAAGACCGAAATGTCTTGCTAACGGCAAAGTTTTATCTCTGTTTTGCGCCTTTTTCGAAGTGTTCTTGCGACATATTCATGTTTGCAACTCTCTGCACATGATGTGCAACATTTTGCATAATTTCTCAACTGCACAGCATTTGCATCCAGCGTTTGTGACATTAAAAACCCTCCAATCTGTCGCGCATTCTAGAAGTCCTACTGAGTACTTCTTATAGTATCGCAAAGATAACCAAGCTTCTATCCACATGTCAGCTAAGCTATTCACTTCAGGGCTATTCAACTCAAGGAGGCTCCCTGTAAGCTTGCCACAGTTTAGAGTCAGTTTAGAAGCCAGGGCAATTTTGCGAGAATTCTCCTTATGACGGTAGTTAAGAAACATGAACTAGGATAATAAATCTGTCTCTATATGCACTAGAAATCAGGGATGAAACAGTTGAAAAACCACTGATGCGTGAAATTGATAAATTCCCCCCAATGTATATATATTAAGTTCACTTTAATCCATTTATGCATTTATTAAAATATGAATAACCTGTAATCTGTTGTGCATCGGGAGTCTGTACAACAGACAACGTGCTTACAAAGGGACAAGCAGAGGGATGACAGCAGATTACCACTGCTCCTTCAATGTCCAACCACAGAAAGGGGTGGATGGTTTCTATACCAGACTGCATTCTAAACTACAGCCAATTCTCCAGGTTGCAGGGCGTTGTTTGAGGTCCTTAAAAGAGAACTATAGGGTAAGTGTTTTTCCCCATAGTTCTCTTAAGGGTCACGGGAGGACATATACTAGTGTCCTACCGTGACCCAAAGCTCAGTATATCGCGAGCTACAGCTCGCAGTATACTGGGGCCGCCGCAGCCGGGACGGATCCCGGCATTACTGTCGAGATCCACCCAGCTGCGTGAGTGACCCCTGGCTCTGCCTACCTAGAGGCAGAGCCAGCTGTACCCGCCCCCTCCGCTCTCCGTTCCTCCAGTCAGCGCTGGAGGATCGGAGCGGGGAGGGGGCAATCCCTGCAGGGAGCTGTGACTGACAGTCACAGCTCTCTGCAGGAACATGATCGAGAAGTGAGCGAGCGACGGTATGTGTTTGCTCACTTCCCGATCTACTGAGCCGACGTGTGACAGTTTAATTGTCACACGGCGGCTCAAACTATGAGGATGAGAGATTTTCACTCACCGCATAGTTCTCCTTTAACGCTACACTATCTTTCCAAACTATGGAAAATATGCAACTGAGCCTGCTCTCGGTTTGTGAATTGCTATAGTTCTGTATGGCACACAGACCACAAATGTAAAAAAAAGTCACAAAAAATATTAAATAGTTTAAATATCACTCACTGAAAATACATTGAAGGGAATTTATCAAAACTGGAGGAGACAAAATCTGGAGTAGCTGTGCATGGCAACCAATCAGCTTCCATCGTTCATTTTCAAATCTTAACTGTACAAACTGAAGAGAGTAGCTGATAGTGCTGATAAATTCCCCCAATTTCATTTCCCCCTTTAGAAAAAAATAATGCATATTAGGTTTTAGTGCCTCAAAGTAAAAATTTCTGAGAGCACATTTCAGAATGTGTATATAAAATATATTATAAAAATGCATACTTTACATTCTTTGTTAAAATAGGTTGAAAGTAACAAAGGGAAGTGATGATAATATCACCATGGGAAGTTTACTAAATGATAGCAGCTAATGAAGAATGCATTCTCTAGTAGACATCATTTATTATCAGGTACTCACCACAGGCTGTTTTGTGATATCCACTAGATCTTTAAGGTTGTAATACTGATGCTTTTCAAAAGCAGAAAACAGCATGTCCAGAACCTGCTGCTTGTCCACACGAGCACGCTTGCCGTCATCTTTTTTCTTCTTCTCATACTCAATCTGTATATATAGGAAGATGTATAAGTAATACATAAAAAGACACAAGATTGATCTAAGGAAATTCTAAGACAGAAACAGACAATGAATGTTTTACCAAACTGTGACTTATTTCATAAAGCTGAATGCTTTTTGCTATATTGTCAGGTAAATAAATGCGCTATTCAATTTTAAGTATCAGCAACTCTGGTTAAAGAAAATGTCTCCCTAAAAACTTTTCTTTTTTATTATGTTCCCCCAGGGGACCAACTGCATATAGCACTTGGCCTCGTTCAAATCAATCCTGCCTTTGCCAAGCAGCGTGGTCGGACAGTTTAAGCACCCTTTGTCCGACCACACTGCTAGCAAGGAGATGGAGTTTGGAGGGACAGCAATGGTCTCTGGCAACAGGGGCAGCTCTGGAGACCAGCGCTGCTGGTCATAAGAGAAGTGCTTTTTGTTCAATTAATTTGATTAAATTTACAATCAATCCAGTTAAAGAAAACATGTACAGAGGAAGTACGGAGGCCATCACTGCTAACCTCTGAAAATACTAGTTCCCTGCCAGTCAGCTGCCATGCTCCCCTGAATTGCATGTAGTGTCATGTGAAGTACAGAGCCCATTCCGTGAAGTAGATGAGCCATGAGTAGAGGTCCCCCTGTTGTCCAATGCTTGTTTGTCTCATCCGGGGGAAAATACTAAAATAGATGATGAAGGTATGTGAGGTCAAAGAGCATACCTGTATCTAAAATGACTTGGTCATGAGAAATGATGGGGGTTGCCACTGCTGGTCATTCTTTGATGAAGCTAGTTGCTTGCCTGTGTCTGGCTTTAATCTTTTTGAAGCACAGATCCAGAACAAATACGATATACATGGGTAACAGAATTCCTTATCTCTAGATTCCAGGTCAGATACTCATAAAACATTAAAAGACAAAGCATCAGCATAACAGGCAAGGAACTAACATTCTCAGAAAAAAGAGGTCAGCAAGGGAAGCCCCAATATGCTTCTTAGTTATTTATGTACCGCTGTAATATTCTCTCTCTCTAATGATTCAAAAAAGAAAAAAATACAAAATGTTCTTAGTGGCGGGGACATACCGGTAGAGTGTACGTCTCCCATCACTAAGGGGTTAGAGCAGGGGTCTCAAACTCAATTCACTCGACAATTTTTTTTCTGACATGGGGGCCGCTTGCCAAATTTCATACTTTAAAATAAAATGTAACTATATACTCACAATAAGGCCTCATTCATATATGTAGGTTTAGGTGCGATTAGGGATTCCTGCGTCAGGAACTTGCGTTTTCCTGAAGCAGGAATCACTAATCTGGCTTTTACAAGCAGCCGCTGTTACCCACTGAAGTTAATGATCAGGTGACAGCAGCTGCATGTAAACGCCTCCACACCACATGTAATGGTATGTGATATTACATGCGGTCAGAAAACACTCTCCCTGGATGCACAATCATTGCATCCAGGGAGTGTGATTGATTCCTAACCGAATTTAATCATATCACATATTACATGCGGTGTGCAAGCGTTTACATGGAGCTGCTGTCACCTGATCATTAACTTGAATGGGTGATAGCTGCTGCTTGTAAACACCAGATTAGGGATTCCTACTGCAGAAAAACGCAAGTTACACATAAAAAATACTACCCATGTACATATAAAATAATACCCCCACCCATACACATAAAAAAATAATACCCCTGCACAAATAAAATAATACACCCCCCCACACACACACACACACACACACACACACACACACACAGACAGAGAGAGAGAGAAACTATATCTCAATACAACCCCCAACCCCCTCACCTATATATAAAATAATATAAATTCCCAGTGTCGTCGTCGTCCCCCAATCCAAGTGCAGCACCGAAGCAGCTCTGTGGTCTGCATCCGGTAGAGATGCAAACCGTGTAGCTGCTCCCGCTGGTTTTGGGCCACATAGTACCGACTTGCAGGCCGGTACTTTGAGACCACTGGGTTAGAGAATAACTTGAAATAAACAATCAAATGTGTAGTTTAAATGAGTATTATGTTTGCTGTTTTACCTGCCATAGAAGTTCTAATTCTGCAGTCTTGTGATTTACAAGTCTGCCATATAACACAACCAGACGGATGCGACGATCAGGGTTATTCATAAAAGGGTGAAGAGTTTGGAGAAGGCAGGAGAAGTGACCAATCTAGGACAAGATAGCTGAACTGGAAAAATTCTCCAATTCAGCTCACTTTCCAGTTCAGCTATGTTGTCCTAGATTGGTAACTTCTCCTGCCTCCTCCAAACTCTTCACCCTTTTGTGAATAACCCTGTATATTTTTAGCTTTAGCAAGAAATCTTATGTCACCTCACCTCCAGCCTGATTTGACAATAAATCAGCATTATCCCCTCTGTCTAATTGGCAGAAAAGTGATGGAGAAAAAAAAAGGCTAAACCAGGAAGTAGCAGAATTATCTTTCTGGCTGTGCAGAATGACAGAGATTTGTAGATAAAAGTTGGCAAACTAAATTTCAGTTCCTCTGGCAGATAAAACTGTAAACATATTCAGATTTAGTGGTTTGCCTGGAATTCCAATGTAGTTTTCACCTATGGGCATTTTAAGGTGACAGTTGAGTGAAGATGGACTGTCAGAAAAGATGATCTACAGTTTGCAGGCTGTAAGGCCCTGTAAGAGTTCATCACTACTGGCAATCTTTTCACTCAACTTCTGGGTCCAGTTACTGATCATAAAAAATATCGAAATGTCACCAGCACACCAGTCCTTTTAGGATAGCAAAAGCTTCATTTATTGAAGTTTTTTGTCATATGACCAACAAGCGCTTTCGGAACCGCACAGGGTCCCTTCATCAGGCTTTAGCATCGTCAATGCTAAAGCCTGATGAAGGGACCCTGTGCAGTCCCAAAAGCGCTTGTTGGTCATATGACAAAAAATGACTTATGACATATGACTTGTAGTGGGGGGTGCTCGCAGTGACTGCGAATGGCGCCGCGAATGTCAGCAAAAATATTGAAATGTCACCAGCACACCAGTCCTTTTAGGATCGCAAAAGCTTCATTTCGGGACCGCACAGGTTACCTTCATCAGGCTTTAGCATTGACGATGCTAAAGCCTGATGAAGGTAACCTGTGCGGTCCCGAAATGAAGCTTTTGCGATCCTAAAAGGACTGGTGTGCTGGTGACATTTCGATATTTTTGCTGACATTCGCGGCGCCATTCGCAGTCACTGCGAGCACCCCCCACTACAAGGGACTTATCTGTAAGGAGTGCGACAAGGATAGTACTTATCAGTTACTGATCATGTCTGCAAGTAGCAATTGCTTCGTCCACCTTTAAAGCATTTATTATGACCCCCAATTACATCTCTGCATTAAAAATTCACATTCAAGTCTCAACATGTTTGTGTTTTGATGTATTTTGTCATGTGTTAATACATAACAGATATTGATAAAGAATACTTAAAACCCCATGAGTTTTTAAATATATATTGATAGATGGGGGTTTCCAAGTTCACCCAAAAGTGATATTTCATTGCATTGCAATTTGTCCTGTGATATTTATTGCTTTCTTAAAAGTTCCCCTAATCCCTTTATTAAATCAAATATGTATGTACTGTGAAAAGATCTTTAATTAAACATGATTAGTGTTTTGACATTTTGGCTCCTGAACTTATGTTTGCCAGTACTGTTAGAATTCACTGAATTTGCTGAAAGATATGTAACTCAGGAGACGGGGCTCAGACAATGTGGGTTAAGGACATCGTCTATTAAAATGAACAATAAATGGTTTCCCAAGTGTATTCAAACAATTAGTGTGAAACCCACACAAGAGAACGCTCTGTATTGTGCCGCTTTAAAGAGGGATCCAGCTTATAGCTGATATTTACGGGGAGCACACTGGACACAGAGGGCATTTACAAACTGCAAAGTTCTAAGAGACAAGTATTTGTGAACATGATCATGGGTGGGGGGTGAAGGAGAGCTTTAAAAAGACTGCATATACATATAGCTCATATATAGGGATGCACCGATACCGATACTAGTATCGGTGCCAATACCAAGTATTTGGGTGAGTACTCGTACTCGCCCAAATGCTCCGATACCTAGCACGAGTACTTCCTGTATCAGGAAGCCGGGCAGCGCATCATTACACGCTGCCCGGTTTCCCGATTGGCCAGGAAGCGGCTCCATGCTCTCTCGTCACGAGAGAGCATGGAGCCGACTTCCCGGCCAATCAGAAAGCCGGGTAGCGTGCAATGCCATTCTGATTGGCCGGGCAGCCGGCGTCATGCTCCCTCGTCATCTCATGGATCATAATATTAAGAAAGTGACCTTAAGGCATTAGTTTGTATTGCTTTAGAAAAAATGTGACCTGTCCCTTTAAGAAAAAGTATCGGTAATTGGTATCTGCGAGTACTTGATCAAAAGTATCGGTACTCGTACTCGGTCTTAAAAAAGTGGTATTGGTGCATCCCTACTCGTATACATCCAGAATAGTAATTTCATTCAGTGGTACCAACCCTTTACCATCCACAAAGACATTGTTCAACTAACACTACATTTATTTTTAAGCAAAGCCACCCCAAAATGGATATTCAGGCTTAGGTGGCCGATGGCTACACCTTGCCATCACTACCTACTTAGCTGATGGATTCATCATGGGGAATGGATAGTTCAATGGGACATATAAATGTTTAACCTTAAATTAGTACCAGTCAAGTTGCAAGGTTGCTCAAGCAGTAAGTGAAGACCCTAAGGAGGCCTTTCACCCAATAACAGACATAGGGTGGACTAGGCCATTCAAAAGACAAAACAAGGTTTGCAAGAGAGCACCATAGAAATACAGTACTCTGTAACTAATTTGAGATTTATGTTATTATCCTGCTACATTCTGCAAACAATTTTTTTTAATGGTTTCCTGTGCTGATGAAACAGGGACGGGAAGTAAAATGAAATGAGCAAGCAATTGTCATTAAACGTTTGCAGTGGTTCTAATGTTTCACCATTCAACT